AAAAGGAGAAGAGGGAAAGATGAATACCACAGTATACATTCTCTCTGAGAAAAATACTGGCAGCTACTGCATTCTTCCTTGAAAAAAAGTATTAATATAGTGGAGAAACACTTTTTTTGGTTTTTTTGGAGATGGAGAAGTATATAAATTTCCCTGACAGGGGACTAAGGCAGAGTGGAAGTTGAGCTGTTAGAGCCAAACTGTTTTTTATTCATCACAAAGAGCTAATCACACATTACAATCACTTATTTCCTCATGCAGTACACACACACACACACACACACAGCTGGCAAGCTGAAGCAACAGTTGCGAGACCAACTCCAAACAAGGGCTCCCTTGCTCTATCAGGTGTACCTATAATCCTGTATTCTCTGTCTGTGTATAACAGGCACTGGCTTCTCACATGTGAGCCGAGTCATGCAACACATTTTTGGTGCCCATGTGTGCTGGTGGCTTGATACAGATTGGGCAGATGGCTGGTGTTCTGAATCTATCACTTCATGTGAGTTCAACAGGATCACTGGTCTCAGGAGCTCATCAGCTCTTCAGAGCCTTTCACATGCTACCTCTCAGCACATACTTTTCCATTCCCCTCCCTGCTGTTTTCTGGTAACAAATTTTCCTATTCATGAACAGAGATACATACAGAGCCCAATTACACAAATTCACACTGAAGTGGCTTTTAAGGTAACCATAGGAAAACTGTAACAACTTAAACATTGCTAACTGGTGTGGTAAGTGAACATCTCTTTAATATGTAGGCTTAAATTTCCATTCACAGAAACTTCTTACTTGAAAGAACAGGGAAATCCATGTGCTGTGAGTTTTGGTTTTGTTAAGTGTATGATTCAGCTTAAATGAGACTAAACAGCACATACTCTTCCAGCTATTTCCTGTTCTGGTTTACTTCTGTCTTATATGAAGGCTTAAGAAATACAATTTTATAAGGGAAGTATTTAACAATTCATTGTGTAGTATTTCTCAAATACAGAAGAACCAATGCCTGTTTATCTCCATAGCAGCCATTTGAACTAAAAGCAAAAACTAGTCACAGTGTTGAGCCATACCTTTTCTGCAGAAGAGCAGGTCAGTACAAATGTTGAGAACACTGGTAGTGGGTATTTGGTTTGAGGGTCCCAGCACTCAATAGTAGCTCCCATAGGAAGGCAGAAGAGAGGTACAGATTCTGACAGTGGGAATGACTCATAGTTCTCTTGAGGATATCTGAAAATTAAGCCTTCAGAATGGGAGAAGGAAAAAAATAAGCACATTTGCTCTGCAAGCCCTAAATAATGTAAGCAATGTATTTTCCACAATATACAGCAAAGTCTGTTGGTTATCTGGACTTTATAACTGACAGTTACATCTGCAGAAGAAGAAAGTCTCTCATTTGACAGTAAGACTAAGCCATCCAAGCAACAATCATTTAAAAATTGTGTATGAATACTGAAGCACTCCCTTTTCGTAGCTGCTCAAAAACCAGTACATAATAAAGACTAATTAGTGAAGATTTTTACTTTAAACCAGTTGGGAATTACCTGTGTTATTTAAATGTGCCATTGGAATGGATTTTATTACAAATAAATTCCTATGAAGAAGGTGACAATTTATCTACTGCAAGAACAGCAGCAATACCTCCTTTTAAAATAGGATGAACTAGCTGACTGTCCACATTTTCTGCTAATCAGTCAGTATGTTCAATTTAAACAAATTGTTTATTCCATTTTCAGAAATACATCTAACTCTTGCTGGTAGAAAATAGGCACACAAGCATTGGTTTACTATTGCTGTTCATCTAGCTTATTTTATGGTACACTGACTTCATTATCTATGCTTTCCTCTTCTACTTGGTAGTTTACTCCTTTCAAAGGAATTTGGTGCACTTAGTGCTCAGTATAAACTCTTTTGAAATTTTTTTTTTTACTTCTTCAGAAAAAAAAATAATAATATGTAGCAATGCATTAAAAAACTTATAAAAGCCAGACTTAAAAGAAAGGACTTTTTGTCATTTATTGTTCAGAATATTTTTCACTCTCCTCAAATAAGAAAAAAGTGAATGGTTGTGGAACTGAAGGGAAGAAACACATTTAACTTTCAAATTAAACAAAAGATGTTGCATTAGCTGTGAGAAAGAAGATTATGAGTAAGACTGAATGGAATTTTTAATTACTCCTCCATCATCACCAACAAAAAAAATATGAAGTCTTTTGTTCCATCTGAAATGCTTGCTAAGCTTTCCACTAAAGCTCCTAAGCTATCAAACCTGTCATGATAAGAACTAAATTAATACAGAACAATGCTATTCCTATTAAGGCTTTTTTTTTTTTTTTTTGCCTGGGAAAAGCGAGGAGAGCAAAGAAGGTATTATAGGAGTTGAATTCAACTGACCTGCTCTAGGGACAGAATTCTGACAGACAGCACTTAACCTTTAAAAATTATTATTTGATTTCAATAAGGCATGTGAATCCTTCTGTTCTCATGTTTAGACAGCCTGCTTCTAAAATTACTTACCAGCTTTATTTTCTAAAGAGTTAGAAGCTGGCACAGACTTCTTGTAACAAAGGTATACACTGGAACCCCACTGGAAGACACAAGTTTCATCTTAGAACCAGCAAAGATGACGACAGGCAGCAGAGAAATTAAGTATAAGCATTTGAATACACTCCCACTTACAAACAAAGCAGACATTTAAATAAAAAGCGTTACAGAATAAAATGACTGGTTGGCTGATGAGTGCATGTATATCATGAAATTGAGGATTCACCCTTCTCACATTTTTTAAAGATTACAGGATTTACATAAAATAATCACACCACCACACTACTCTGTGACTTATTCCAACAGAAGAACAGTGAAAAGTGAAGCAGATCACTTGCAGCTTCACAGTTTCTTGGTTATTTAAAAGGAGGCTCTTATGGGAACCTCATCAGTGGAATTCTGAACATCATCACTTGAAGCTTTTATCATACTTCCATAAACTGGTTATTTACATAGTGTTTTTGCAGTTTGCCTAAATACACTCTACCATTCGAAAAAAAATCACTTATTTCAGCCTGAGCAAACTAAATGAAAAACAGACTAAATGAAAGCAAACTGATAAAAAAAAAGTACATGAAACTGTAAGCAGTAATTATTATTCTTACACATCTTAGTAACATAGGCATTATTAGTAACTAAGAAAAAAGTGTTTGTGATTCATCCTGAGTGTGAGCATCACCAAGAAGGGCGGTGGGGGAGATAATTTAAAAAAAAAAAAAAAAAATCCATCACACTACTCCTAAATAGCCCTTAGACATGAATATGCAAACCAAAGTAGTGAGTAATCAGTATGAAGAAGTAATTCCTAACTCCAAAGGAAATCAGAGCAACAAAACCTACAAAACTGAAGTTTCACACCTGGTATATAGAATGAAAAAATTATGATGTAGTGATAGAACACAATTATAACAGTGCTAAGTGGAGTTCAAAGAGATACTCCTTTGGGTTTGTTTGTTGGGTTTAAAAAAACAAAAAAAAAAAAAAAAAAAAAA